TTAGGTCGGTGTTAAAATGAACGTGGCCTCCTATGGAGATCTTATTTTAGTGGGTTAAAGTTTTTCTAACTGGCAGAGGCTTGTTTGTGACGTTTCCTGTAGATCAAATCTGCAGGAACACTTCTAATGTTTATGGCAGTACATGTGTTGTCGTGCTTTGCACATTTATAACCATGGCCTGTCTGCCCTTCATGTGCCAAAAAACCTCCAGGCCACTTTTTGTGTATGTGTTTTTTTTTTTTTTTTTTTTTTTTTTTTTTTTGTATCTTTTCCATTGTGCATTTTGTCATGCGTTATGTGCAAAACAATTCCGGCTTAGGTTACCATTAACAATATGAAGCTGGCCTCATTTCCTTATAGAGGAGAAAAGTCTGATCTTTCGCTCAGATCTGCAGGCTACAGAAGTTTCAGGATGGGGGGAGGAGGGGAGTTTTTGTGATTGTAGGATACTTTGTAACCCTTTCACTGCCCCATGCTGTATATCTATCTCCATCTTGTCTGTGTCCATTGCAATAGCTTTATGCACACAAGGCATTTGCTTTTCTCTCTTGAATAATAACGTTCTTCCTAGCAGGAGGGAAAAAAAAAACAATATTTTTGTGCTGTTTACAGAAATGTACTACTCTTTGACATGGTTTCCTATGGGACGCGTTCACACCTATGCGTTTTGAGCGGCTTCATTTTGTAAAGGGCCAGGGACACGAAACGTGTGGGTTTTTTTTTTTTTTTCCCCCGATAGACTTCAATTGAGACACTGCTGAAGACACATGTAGTGTGTTTGATGCATTTAGTGTTTTTAATCTGCCAAGCAACAAGTTGGCCCCAAAAAAGCATTAAAAATGAAAAACGCATCAAACGTGTTCAAAGAATGCAAAATGTACTGCATCAAGTGCTGGGGCATTATTATTTTTATACAGGATTTATTTAGCGCCAACAGTTTGCTCAGCGCTTTACAATATAATGGGAGACAATACAGCAACAATACAGTTCAATAGTTATTCATTTAATTGCTCAGAAGAATTTATTCTGGTCATTGAAATGGATTTAACAATTGATGCACCAAAGGTTGCATGTGTCAAGCATTTTTTTTTTTTTTTGTCTACCAAAGCACTGCTGCTTTTGGACACTAGTGTTTTGGTTTTTTTTTTTCTGCCTCAGACACAGGCTAACAAGGAAGGGCATTTAGAGGCAAGAAAAAAAGCTTGACTCCCCTATAAGCAGCATTATAATGCACAAGGCCTTGCACGTCCTGCATATTTTTCTTCCATCTTTTAACTCTTTTGCTGCCAGGTCCGCGGGGGGGGGGGGTTAACACAATCTAGAGGCTGCAGACATCGGTATTGTCTGAAACGGACAGGCAGAAGCAGTCAGGCAACCGTGCTGCCACCCAACTGCTTCCACACACGCTCCCCGTAATGGTGCAACCCCCACCATGTAATCTAGGCTCTGCTTGCCCATCTGTGAGCCCAGGCCTCACATGGCGAGTGGATGGGAGGGAGAACAGACCCATGTCTACTTCCCTTCGTGTGTGTGTGTGTTTTCTCAATACATTGAGAACCTGCCACCAAAAATCACATAGGGGACAGGTGGAGGTGGGATTATGGTGTGGGGTTGTTTTTCAGGGGTTGGGCTTGGGCCCTTAGTTCCAGTGAAGGGAACTCTTAAGGCGTCGGCATACCGAGACATTTTGGACAATTTCATGCTCCCAACTTTGTGGGAACAGTTTGGGGATGGCCCCTTCCTGTTCCAACATGGCTGCACATCAGTGCACAAAGCAAGGTCCATAAAGACCTGGATGAGCAAGTTTGGGGTGGAGGAACTTGACAGTCCTAACCTCAACTTGATGGAACACCTTTGGGATGAATTAGAGCGGAGACTGCAAGCCAGGCCTTCTCATCCAACATTAGTGCCTGATCTCACAAATGTGCTTCTGGAAGAATGGTCAAATCTTCCCTTACACATGCCTAAACCTTGCGGACAGCCTTCCCAGAAGCGTTGCCGCTGTTATAGCTGCAAAGGGTGGGCCAACTCAATATTGAACCCTACGGAGTAAGACTGGGATGCCTTTAAAGTTCATGTGCATGTAAAGGCAGGCAGCCCAGTACTTTTGGCTATATAGCATATTTACACGGTGTGCAACCTTGTCTCTTATATTTTACTGTTCAGTTGGGTAATTTTATTGCGTTTGCCCTTCACTCAAGAGGTTTTTTACTGAAATTTTGTGGAAATGTAGCTCCAATATATTTTTTTTTCTCTCACGATAACTTTTATTCTCTAGGGTATCTGCTTTCAGAAAATATATAATGTTCAGGAAAGCATAGCGTAAAATTGTTCAACACAAAGTAAAGAACATGAACACAACGTTAAGACATGGATCTCTAATACACAATGTCTTCTAGAACTGTTAGCAATTTACAATGCAGAGATACATTTGTGCGTAGCATAAAATCCATACTAGCCATCAGGATAGTATACACTTGGAGGGGAGCTACTTGAGAAAGGGTATAAAGTAATTTTCAAGGCAATAGATCAAGAATAGACCAGTATTTTTAGAGCAGCATTTGGAAGCATAAAAAGTACCCCAAAAGTGCATTCAGAGAGGAGCTTATGAGAATTGTGTAAATTTATTTCAGTGACCAAGAAAAAATTATTAGTCTGGCTAGTAGAATGTGTTAACGCTCATTAACACTGTACACTTATGAACATGTGTTTTTGTGTACTAAAACTAGCAATTTTTGCACTTTTATTTAAGTCTCCTGGCAGAAAGATCCAGTGTTGATGGGAGTATTTTCTTTCAATCTTCTTTTTTTTTTTAAAAAAAAAAAAGAGTAGGCTAACAGATTACATACAAAAAGGCTTGGCCAAGCATCAGAAAAAGTCTCAGTGGGCCATACAAAACAGAGGACCAATAAACATCAAAGTATCATAGGATCTGTGGTTGACCACCCCTAAAAAAAAAACAAAACGGGATAATCTACAGTGCCTTGGAAAAAAATATTCATACTCCTTGACATTTTCCACATTTTGTCATATTACAACCAAAAACTTAAATGTCTTTTATTGGTATTTTATGTGATAGACCAACACAAAGTGGAGATGAAATGGTTAATGTACAAGTAGTATCTGGTACACATTACCAAGCTATGGTGTCCTTTTATGAAACGGATCAGTGATGATCCTGAGGATCGTTGCTGATCTCCGATCATTAGTGGTTTAGGAAACAGATCATCAGCAGAGAACATGTTCTCTGTTGATCTCCGCACACAGATGGCCAGAATATGAAGGAGTGATGTCAGTCCTTCACTGGCTATCTGTGTTCTCCCTCCAGATTCTCCAGCGCAGAGCTGGAGAATTGGAGAAACTGCAAACGAAGCACAAGGCCTTGCATGTCCTGCATATTTTTCTTCCATCTTTTAACTCTTTTGCTGCCAGGTCCGTGGTGGGGGGGGGGGGGGGTTAACACAATCTAGAGGCTGCAGACATCGGTATTGTCTGAAACGGACAGGCAGAAGCAGTCAGGCAACCGTGCTGCCACCCAAATGCTTCCACACACGCTCCCCGTAATGGTGCAACCCCCACCATGTAATCTAGGCTCTGCTTGCCCATCTGTGAGCCCAGGCCTCACATGGCGAGTGGATGGGAGGGAGAACATTTTCCACATTTTGTCATATTACAACCAAAAACTTAAATGTCTTTTATTGGTATTTTATGTGATAGACCAACACAAAGTGGAGATGAAATGGTTAATGTACAAGTAGTATCTGGTACACATTACCAAGCTATGGTGTCCTTTTATGAAACAGATCAGTGATGATCCTGAGGATCGTTGCTGATCTCCGATCATTAGTGGTTTAGGAAACAGATCATCAGCAGAGAACATGTTCTCCGTTGATCTCAGCACACAGATGGCCAGTATATGAAGGAAACGAAGCAGCGATAATTTATTTTTAGTAAACAGTTTGACTGATCTTACTGTAATCTTGCGAGATTATAGTAAAAGTAGCCGTTTTCCAGCGTTGAAAGTGTTTGTAGATCGCGCCTCTCTTTCAGAGAACTGACCTACACTGCTTCATAAAAAGGCATTCAGAGGAGAACTGTGTTCCCTGAGAATGCTGGAGAGCTGAGCAGCGGTCATTTACTGCTGCATGATAAAAGGACACCTAAATGTCTTAACCGCCTCAAACCAGTAGGGGTTTTATCATCAAAGTGGGGTGTCTTTTCCAAAAGGGATCATTCTTTGGATGTCCTGTCATTTTATTTTAACAGGGAAACAATTAAATTTCCTTTTTATGAAGTAGAAACTTAAAAGAACACAATAGTAATGTCCAGGGACGGACTGATAACTCGTGGGGCCCCCCAGGCAATAGGGGATCATGGGGCCCCATGTGTCCTTGCCCAAACTCAAAAGCCTATGAAAAAAGTACCAGGGCATCTCATGGGGCCCCCTACTGACCTCAGCGCAGTGCCAGTTTCCAAATGGTCAGTCCGCCCCTGGTTATGTCATACCACCAAAAGATCTTTCAAATATAGAATTCATATGGGTACAGTAAATGTTGCATGATTGTAATTTGTCCAACTATTCCATCACTGCTAATTGACTGTATAAGATAGGATTGTATGAGGGGCGTTTAAGTCAAACCGGGACTTTTCATTTTACAGGTATAAAAAGGATGCTAGCATGGTGGTACTACACACAGTAGTAAGTGGCAAGTGTGTCCTATTACGCATTGGGTGGCGCACATGACACGGGTCCTGAGACGTTAATCAAGATGGCAGACAACAGTGTTAGTGCATGCATGGAACAGCGTGTGGTGATGAAGTTTCTTGTGAACGAGGGTGTAAAACCCATAGATATTTACAGAAGACTTCAAGCACAGTACGGCGATGAGACGATCAGCCGCAGTAAGACATTTGAATGGTGTAAACGTTTCAAAAATGGCCGAACATCAGTCAGTGACAATCCTGGCCGTGGTGGTTCCCAGCCCACAGCAGTAATTCCTGTGAACATTCAGCTTGTGAAACACCTCATTCTGGATAATCAACGCATAACCTGTCATGAAATTGCACAAGAGACAAATCTTTCTGTGGGAACAGTGAACACAATCATTCATGAACATTTGCATTTTCAAAAACTTGGTGCATGCTGGGTATCAAGACAGCTTTCCACTTTTGTCCAGAACAGAAGTGTTGAAATCTGCAGTACGTTGAAGGAGCATTTTGATAGGGAAGGACAGGATTTTCTGGATCATGTCATTACATGTGAAGAATCCAAGGCACATAATTTCACTCTGGAATCAAAACAAGCATCAAAGCGGCAGAAGCATGTGCACTCGCCACCACCAAAAAAATTTGTGTCTGCAGGTAAAGTGATGTCATGTGTTTTCTGGGACAACACATTTACTTGAGCCATTTTTACATTTCTTTAGTTACTTCATAGTTTTCATGCCTAGGCAAATGTCATACATCCCAGGAGTCTTAAGGAGGTGAGGAGGGCTTTAGTCAGCCAAGCACACCCCCCTGCCAGTGCCATTATTTAAGGACAGATGGATTTCAGGAAGTAATACTACTTTAATCACCTGCCCTTACTCAAGATGGCCACAGCCATCAGGTGTTTTCCGGCAGCCAATATATTGGCGCATTGCTAAAATTATCAGGCAAAAATGGGGTTAATGGCGTTTTACCGGTGGAAGAGAGAAGAGGTGCCAATAACTGACTTCAATGCAAAATCGCCTCTGAGTTTAATTTGAATTTTTATTTTCTGTCCAATTTTTATGGGTTACTTTCAACAAGTTGTTTTACGTTACTGGATTTTAATTTTTTTAATTCATATTCATTTAAATTCATATTATAATTCTAAAAATATATTTTTACTGTATTTTGATTTTTGGCTAAGTGAAAATTCTGAATCTAACCTGAAAATTCAGAATGCAGTGTGGTTTTATTTATTTTGTTCCTTAGTGATTTCTCAGCAAAATACAGCATGGAGACATGGATTGATGGAGTTTGCTCTGAATATTGAAAATTAATTACTGTAGTTTTTGGTTTGCGGCATTCAATGTAGTTCTGCTTTAACATAACTTCACCCAAAAGGGACATTTTTTTTGTGTTTTAGGTCCTAGTTTTGACGGGTACCTGCTTCTGCTCTGATCGCCCAGGCGATTTAAGTGGAATTTCAGACCCCCTTTACCCACAGCTTTCTGGGACACATCACAGTTCCCAGAAGGCTGTGTGACCAATCACAAAAGCGCAGCACAGCATGCGCAGTAGGGGGCTGGCTGTGAAGCTGCAATCTGTCAATCTGCTTCCCACACTAAAGATGTCAGCACCTGAAGTCCTAGTGAAGAGAGTGAGGACAGTGCTGGATTTATAGACATGAGTGTCCATTTTATTAAATCAGCAGCTACAAATACAATTTTTTTTTTTTTCTACTAGAATAGAACTGCTTTTAATGAGACCTCAGGGGTCCCAGACCCCTAATGTCCCCCATGCACTCCCTCCATGCAGAATGAAGACTAGAAGCTCTGACTTGTAGTTTTCCTGGCCACGTCAGCCAAGGTTTGACTGACAGCTCTGAACTTGGATGTGCTCAGAACTTCTGGCTTCATACCTCACATGGGAGTTCACTGATCTCACTGCTCACCTGATGGTTTTTAGTAGTAGCTGGGATTCCAGGAGAGAAGGGCAAGCTCAGGGCACGGCTACTACAAAGCTGGCAGCCAGCTGAGAAAACAAAGCTCATGGCTGCTATTGCAGCTTTTAAAGTCCTGTAAAGGGTAAATGCTGCAAGATTGCTGTTTAATCAGAATCCTGTGCCCCTTTCCCTTTTGTTGGGGTTAGCTACTCTACCTTTATGATTTTAGTATTACTCTCTGGACGCTGTTGTCCACTCAATTCTATTTTGCAATCTTATTACATTTTCCATATTTATTGGAAAAAATTGGAATTCAAAACTCCATATGTGTTGTATTTTTCTGGCTGCCTTGTGCTGTTCTATGGCTTCTACATCACTGTCAAATGACAGCAAAGGATGTGTAAAGAGATGCACCTGAGAACCGATGAGTTTAAGACTGGGTTCACTCTGATGCGGTGTGGGAAATGCTACGAATCCTGTGCGTTTCCCGCATCACAATGCAGCATTCATGTGATCTGGTGCAGGTGTCTGTTAAATTAATGACGCCCCAAGACAGATCACAAAACACTATTCAAGTGCAGGTAAAAAAAGGTCCTGCACCTTTTTGGCACAGCTGTGATGAGATTTGATCCACACAAAATGTTTGGCTCAAATCGCACTGCAGACATCACATGTAATTTGCACAGAAATTGCACTGCATTCCTATGCAAATTACATGCGATGTCCCACACTGCTTGAGTGTCAACCCAGTCTAAGGGTTCAATTGCACACTGCAGTAGCTTCCCAGATGTGAAGTAACTAACCATACAGGCAGCACAGTGGCTAAATGGTTAGCACTTCCACCTGGCAGTACTTGGGTCGTTGGTTCGAATCCCAACCATGGCACCACCTGCCTGGAGTTTGCATGTTCTTGTGCCTGCGTGGGTTTCCTCTGGGTACTCCGGTTTCCTCCCATGCTCCAAAGACATGCTGGTAGTTAATTGGATCCTGTCTAAATTGGCCCTAGTATATATGTAAGTTGGGGACCTTAGATTGTACACCCCTTGAGGGTTAGGGACTGATGTGAATGTACAATATATATGTAAAGTGCTGCGTAAATTGATGGCGCTGTAAAAGTACCTGAAAATAAAAAATTGGCACTGTAAAGGCTCTTTTTTTTCAGATGGGAATGGATTGGTGGCTTTTTATTTGCCACCTTGGTAGGAATACCCCTAATCTTTGCATTCTAGCCAGTTCACACTAATAGTCACGTTTCTGTGTGCCTTCCCACACTGCATGGGAATGCACTGACCTTTCTAGAAGTGCATTGGTGCCATTGTTGGTGACACCCCAAATGTGTTTAACAAATGTAGCCACCAACCTGCATGGTACTATATTGTAATGTGATTTGTAAACTTAGCGCCAGCACTACAGTTTGTTCATTCCTGTGCATTTGGCAGCCCATTGAAATGGACTGGCAAAAACATGCATTCAAGTGTGAGCTGGCGCCTTATCCCCCTCCTGCTCCTTGTGGCATCTAGAATTGTTGAGTAGCTGACTTGATGCATTGTGCTACAGGGAAGCTGTGGTCTGCAGGGTTTGGATGTACAGGATCTGTACACGTGTAGGAACCACAGCTTCCCAATGAGTGGGCCATATAATTGTAATAGCTTGTGTGATCTGTCCAAATGATGTTAGCACTGGGCTCTGAATTTGTATGAAAGATACCTGTGCCCCTCTGTCTTGACATGCAGAGGGCCTGAAGGACAGTACACATGCTAATTGTGACATGAATGATTAAGCTGTCAACACAATCTTTGCTACTTTGCAAATGCTAGAAAGTGCTTTGTACTGCATTTAAAAAGCTTTGAAGACTGCCTTATGTGAATTTTTTTTTTTTTTTTTTTTTTCCTCCAGGTGACGGGTAATAGGGCAAATGCAGGAAAATGTCAGGTATGAGACTTTTAACCTCAATTCTCCCTCAATGTGTTTGTGTGGGTTTTTTTTTTCTCCATTTACTTTTTTTACTGGGTTATCTATAAAAATATACATGCAAATACAGCAAGGTTCTTGAGTAGGGATCTGCTGCTGTGCACTTGGTCCCACACCACCATCTACTTCTGATGTCATCGGGAGCCAGCTTTCTCTTCTAGGTTCTTGCAGCCTCCAGATATGCATGTCATATGTTATCAGGTGGGTGGCTGCAAGAACCAGGGATACAGCTGACCCCCTTATCAGTTCATGTACTGTAGAGTAACCTGAAGGCCTTTTGTAATGCATGCGACTATCCCAAAAGGCTACAGACATGTTGATTATTATTATACAGTATTTATAAAGCACCAATAGTTTGCTCAGCGCTGTACATTACAAAAGGGGACAGAACATGTGACAGAACAATAACAATACAATGCAAAACATGAGGGGATCGAGGGCCCTGCTCTTTCACATCATTCTATCCTAGGTGAGGGTTCAAGTAGTGTGCATAGGGTTCCTTGAAAGTATATGAATCCTGTTCAAGTGTTAAGAAGGGGGTCCCTAGAGTTCTGAACAGCTATGCCTGAATTGCCATGATGCTTTTAATGGGTAGATTTAGGAATGCTGCACATTTGCTATTGTGAATCACTGGGTACACTAGGCTTGTGCCCCTATGGTCAGGCATCTGCCTGAACTTTTCAACTTCAAGGATGGGCTAGGGGTGTGAGGTCTGTACCATATCACAACTATAGTGTCCTTAAACCCTTTCAACAACAGTACTGAATTTGGATTGGATCCTATGTGGTTGTCAACATCTTCAGCTTTGACATAGTATTAGCACAGCACAATGCCCCGCTATAACCCATTTTGGCAACACCATTTATTGATGACCTGTCCCAGGTGAACAGTAATTATCTTGTATCAGAATCTTCTTCCCAGTTGGATAAATTTCGATTTGTGTTACCATTATACTGTAGGTGGAGATGGGAAGAGGACCTGGGACATCTCCAATGACACTTCAGAGGATATTCTTTAATTTACCCAGCTGGTAACTCAATTGCCCACACAAAGCAGAACAAAGCTTTTTACAGTACAGAGTTTTACACTCAAGATTGGGTTATGTGCAAATTCTTTCAGTAACAGATGTGCTTGTCCACAGGGGAATCTTGTACACCTCTGACACTGCCCCAAATTGAAGAGTAATTGGGATGGGTGATTTCAATCTTTAATAACCGCCTTGCTATTAAATGCAAACCCACCAACCTGTGTTCCAGGTCATTAGTTTATCACATCAGGGAGGGGTCCTATCTCTTACCAGATCAGTTTACTGTCTGCAGGATGTTTGCTTTAAAATGGGTTTCTCAAACCCCCCTCTAAAGGACTTTAACAAGAACGCTGTATTGCATTTGAGAAACATACTATATATGAAATGCTATGTGCAGATTTGGTTCTAATGAACAGATCTAATGTGTCATTTCCTAAACTGTTGCTTTGTCGTCCACCGTACAGGTGTACCCAGTTTACAAATTTGATGCATTCTCCTGGACGTTTTTGTATTGCAAAAAATACTGAAACCGTTTCCCATAGGAATGCATTGAAAACAAATTAATCTGTTCCGGAGGTCAGAAATTTTTTTTTTTTTCCCTTCACTATAGTGCAGAGAATCAGCTGTCCCTTCCTCTCCAGGTAAATTTCCTTTTAGTTTTCCCCAACAATGTTTGTTGTTTTATTTCAAAAAAGAACCAAAAAGGAAAGTATCCTTTAGCTGCAGGGAAAGTGACAACTAATTCTGTGAGCCATAGTGAAGAGAAAAAAAAGCTGGCAATTGCATTTAAAAATCGGCAACAACATACACTTCGTATTGCAAAAAAAATTAGAATTCGTAAACCGAGGCATTATTTTCAATGGATTTTCATTCGTAAACCAAAAATTACATTAACTGAGGCATTCATAAACTGAGGTGCACCTGTAAACTCGTAGCATTGTGCCGCATTTATTTATTTCAAGTACTTGTATAGCGCCATCAATTTACGCAGCGCTTTTTACATATATAGTGTTACATTCACATCAGTCCCTAACCCTCAAGGGGTGTAGAATTGAAGGTCCCTAACTCCCATTCATACATGCACATACTAGGGCCAATTAACCTACCAGCATGTCTTTGGGTTTCCTCCTACACTCCAAACAGGCACAGGGGAGAATATGCAAACTCCAGGCAGGTGGGGCTGTGGTTGGGATTCAAACCAATGACCCTAGTACTGCAAGGCAGAAGTGCTAACCGTTTTTAGCCCCTGTGCTGCAAATGTACTTGTGCCTTCATTGTACCTTCTCTTGTAATCTATGCTTGGTGGTGGAACATGCATGTGTTTTGAGATGTAGGTGGTTCTATTGTCCTGTGACAGATTGTCTTTGTAAATTGTTTAAAGTGCTTTAATACACAGCATCTGACTTAGAGGGGGTAGTAGTGATATGTAAAATGGTGGGGAATCGTAATGGTCCACTAACTATTAATTGGTAGGCTGACAGTCTCAATGATGCTAGCACTGGGCTCTGAATATGTATGAAAGATGACCTGTGCTCCTCTGTCCTGACATGCAGAGGACCTGAGAGACAGTACATACATTAAGTGTACCCCACACCTCTGTTGGTAATGAACTACCACAGTGGAAAGGACTGGCTTAATTTAAGATGCGCACTTTTTTTTATGGACATATATTGAATATCCACTTGCCTCACAAATATTAGTTTATAATTTTTAATTATGCAGTGTTTTAAGTATTGGTTGAATTCTACATAGGGAGGGCACAACAATATTCTTAACTTGTATCTTAACACACATTGTGGCCTTGCAATTGCTGGTATCTGAAGTGCCTACTTTAGGGCTTTAAATGCTTTCCTGAAGCAATATAGTATATCATCATTTTTTTTTTTCTTAATACTTTTTTTTTTTTTTTTTTTTTTTTCAGGTGGCTGGTATATGGACTAGAAACTTTGGCATTTTTTTTTTTGTCAGGTATGGAAGACATTTTAGTAGTTTCCTGTCTCAATGATGTTAGCACTGGGCTCTGAATCTGTATGAAAGATGACCTGTGCTCCTCTGTCCTGACATGCAGAGGACCTGAGGGACCATACACAACCACGATCTTGTCTGACATAGACACTTTTTAATACAAACCTTATGATCTTGCAAATGCTAGTGAGAAGTGACTTACATTTTAGTGAGCATTTAAAAACTTATTGAAACCCTTTTGTTTTCTAACTCTTCTTCTTTTCACTTCTCTAGGTGACTGGTTATATGGTCTACAACATCTTGAGGGTTTGTCAGGTATGGAAGATGTAACCTCTTGTTTTTCCCATAGTGGGCCATTTATCTGGTCTCAATATTGCTAGCGCACTAAGTTCTGGGTTTTTTATAGTTGTACCTTTCTAAACTTGACATGCTGTGGACAGCTTGTTGGTTTAACTTCAAAGTTTGTGGTTATGGTTTTCTTGGAAGATACTGGAAATGGTTACTAATAAATTCAACTTTGTTTTCAGGGTTCTACAATCTTATACATGGTCTGAAGAAATTTCGTGCTGAAGATTCAGTCCACGAGCAAGTATTATGATGCATTAGTACCTCTTTGAGGCATTGTAACTAGGGTTTTAGCTCAAAGTGAGTACCATATCATATTTACTGTATGCATAGCCTTGATTTAGGGTGGATGTTGACTACATGTGAGACCACAGGTAAGCTGACTAAATGGAGTGAACATGGTGTGGTATTGGAATTGGGGATGACTGGTGCTGCTTGGATTTATGTATGTGCCTGAACTGTAGATTTAGTGTAGCTGTTTTTTATACCAAAGCAAATCTTGATTATGTTGTACTTGTTCATGACTAAAGTGTAATTGACTAAGGTATGTGTATTTGGTATACATGCAGCTATCTTCATGTATATGCTTGGTTGCTTTTGTGTGGTTTGAGTTTTTTTTTTTAATTTTCTTTTCCTTGCAATCAAACTGATGTAACTTTTATGCATTATCTACTCTATATTGCATGCATAAAGATTAATAAATCTGTTTTATGGAATGTTTGAAGAATTGGTCTTTCTTTCAATATGCTCTGTGCTAGATGAGGGTTGGTAACACTGTTGCCTGAAAGTGTGATTGTGCTAAGCTACCCATATCTACAAAATTTTCTAAAATCCTGTTTTTTTTTTTTTTTTTTGTTTTTTTTTTTCCTACTTCTCTTATGGGTCACACAAGTGCACTTTGCTCAGACATTGCAGAGCCATTCCAGGCTCTAGAAGTATCCCAACCATATTGTGAAGATCCATCCAGCTGCCTAATACTGCTGGCTCCAGCTTTCAGCACTCTGAGAGCTGGAGTCAAATGTACCTGCCCCCTGCTGGCCCAACATCCCAGTAAGCACCGAAGGGGCTGTGACAGTCACCACTCTAGGCTCAGAGCTGACCAAGCTGTGATCGATCAGTTCTCGGGCTTGGAGCCAGCCAGGGACAGCGGCAGCATTAGACTGGTGCTGCAGCATAGATGTGAGTAGAGAAACTCCCTGAACAACTTCAACATCTAAACTGGAGCTTAAGGGTACTTTTCTAAGGGATCCAAACACTCAAAGGTTGCTAAGAAAATGCTTTGTAAAATCTTGCTGTACACAGCTTTTTAGAACAGCTGAAGCTTGCCTCCACATAGCTTGAACCAGTTTAAAGCTATATGCTTGGCAATTGCTACTCTGGTACTTTTTGGATCCAGAAAGATTCTTCATGGAATCTCAGTGAATGCTTTGCTTTTCCACCCTTTAAAATCTGTAATGTTTAACAATCTGTCCAGTGATGACTTGGTGCATCTAAATGACCCCTGTATGAAAGTACAAAACAAGCAACAAATCCACTGTACAAAAATCCCAGCTCATGTCACTGCTCACAAGCAGTCTGTACCCTCTGTCCTGTGCATGT